TTATGGTTCTTCATCAGTTCCAAGATTAATTTTATTTATAAGTTTCAATGTCTTTTATTAAATACTTTAATCCATTTTTATTTTTGATCTTTCTGCATTATCAAATTCATCATATTTTTCAAATTTAAATCCATTTGATTTTACTTAAAATGAATAATCTTCAAATAATTCAAATGCATTCTATATTAATCATTATGAATTCATACTTTTGGATTATCCAATAATATTTTAGTTAATAAATTATTCAAATGTTCATATAAATTTGTATTTTAATCCTTTACTTCTTACAGTTTCTCTTTTAGCATTAATAAAAAACTATTAATAAATAAATACAAATATATATATATATATATTAAAAAGTAAATAAATATCAATTTAATATAACTTAATGCCTTATTTAGATTATTTTATCCATCTGACATCTATTTAATTGTTTTTATATGTATGAATTTTGAATTTCTTAATTCTTCAATTGATATTAAATAAAAAAAAGTTTAGAGTAATTTTTGCTAGATAATGTTATTGCCTTTATTTACATTATAAGTATTGAAAACTTTCTAAAATTTATATAAATTTCTTAATTTTGAGACACGTTTTAAGTATAAAACAACTATAAAGGGAAAAATAATATAATCATTTAATAGCTATTAATTATTAAGTGTATATATTATTCTATTAACTTTGAAAGTAATTAATTTACTTATTAAATAATAGGTATTTTTATTCTCTTACAATTATTGTTACTGAGCTTAGAATAATATTTCAATCAAATTTTTTTATTAAAACAAAATCTAGTAAATATTAAACTTTAATAGTAAATCTAGTACTTAATATTTTTATACTAATTAATTATCCAAATTCTTTTAAACTTTTTGGAAGTACTATATTATTGAACAAATAAAATTGCAATGTTATGAAATAATTATTAATTGTACTTTTCAAAAAATTAGAAAAATATTTTATAATAGTACCTTTTTAAATAAAATAAATCATCAAATAGAAAATATTTAATATGATTAACTACTTAATGAATCATAATTCTGCATAAAAGCATCTTTAATATTTAATTTATTAAAATTTTCAATATTAATAGAAAATATTGTCATATTTAATGAGTATGAATAAAAATAGTGTTGAGAATTAGAGTTCACAATGTGAATTTTTAGTATTTTGATAAAAGAATAAGAATATAAGGTTATTGAATGAATGGCAATAAAAACTTTTAGAATGTTCGAAACAATTCTAATTTTATTTTAATTGGCAGCTAATAAACATTTACACAATTAATATATGAATTATTACAATATTCTTGGTATTTCAAATAACTCAAGTCATTCGCAAATAAAATAAGCCTACAGGGACCTTGCAAAATAACATCATCCAGTAAATTATCAAAATATGTTGAGGATAAAAATCCTCAATCAACACAATTTAGAATGATTTTAGAGGCATATCGAATACTTTCTAATCCTGATCTTCGGTGTCGATATGACTAAATCCAAGCCTAAATGGAAAGATAAATTGGCTTATTTTATATGATAAGGAATTTCATAAATGGAAATTAAGAGAAAACAGAACTTAATAATGATACTAATACAAAAGACACAGAAATTATAGAAAACGATGTTAAGAATAGGGAAGTTACTTAAATCCATAAGAAAAAAATTAAAAAAAATCATCATTGATAATATTTTAATCTTTTCTATGATTAATGATCTATGATTTTCCATTTTTTAACTTCATAATTACAATTAGACCCTTTAATTTTTATTTAAAATCATAATATGATCTCTACCTAAAATTAATAATATCATCAGTCCAGGTATTAAGGTCGGAGATAAGAATTATACATTTTCTACAATTAAATTCCTCAAACAAATATATTTTCTTAATAATATTGTGTAAATATTTCTAATTTGAACAATTCAAAATTCGTATTAAATAAACAAGATAAGTATTNATTTATATAAATTTCTTAATTTTGAGACACGTTTTAAGTATAAAACAACTATAAAGGGAAAAATAATATAATCATTTAATAGCTATTAATTATTAAGTGTATATATTATTCTATTAACTTTGAAAGTAATTAATTTACTTATTAAATAATAGGTATTTTTATTCTCTTACAATTATTGTTACTGAGCTTAGAATAATATTTCAATCAAATTTTTTTATTAAAACAAAATCTAGTAAATATTAAACTTTAATAGTAAATCTAGTACTTAATATTTTTATACTAATTAATTATCCAAATTCTTTTAAACTTTTTGGAAGTACTATATTATTGAACAAATAAAATTGCAATGTTATGAAATAATTATTAATTGTACTTTTCAAAAAATTAGAAAAATATTTTATAATAGTACCTTTTTAAATAAAATAAATCATCAAATAGAAAATATTTAATATGATTAACTACTTAATGAATCATAATTCTGCATAAAAGCATCTTTAATATTTAATTTATTAAAATTTTCAATATTAATAGAAAATATTGTCATATTTAATGAGTATGAATAAAAATAGTGTTGAGAATTAGAGTTCACAATGTGAATTTTTAGTATTTTGATAAAAGAATAAGAATATAAGGTTATTGAATGAATGGCAATAAAAACTTTTAGAATGTTCGAAACAATTCTAATTTTATTTTAATTGGCAGCTAATAAACATTTACACAATTAATATATGAATTATTACAATATTCTTGGTATTTCAAATAACTCAAGTCATTCGCAAATAAAATAAGCCTACAGGGACCTTGCAAAATAACATCATCCAGTAAATTATCAAAATATGTTGAGGATAAAAATCCTCAATCAACACAATTTAGAATGATTTTAGAGGCATATCGAATACTTTCTAATCCTGATCTTCGGTGTCGATATGACTAAATCCAAGCCTAAATGGAAAGATAAATTGGCTTATTTTATATGATAAGGAATTTCATAAATGGAAATTAAGAGAAAACAGAACTTAATAATGATACTAATACAAAAGACACAGAAATTATAGAAAACGATGTTAAGAATAGGGAAGTTACTTAAATCCATAAGAAAAAAATTAAAAAAAATCATCATTGATAATATTTTAATCTTTTCTATGATTAATGATCTATGATTTTCCATTTTTTAACTTCATAATTACAATTAGACCCTTTAATTTTTATTTAAAATCATAATATGATCTCTACCTAAAATTAATAATATCATCAGTCCAGGTATTAAGGTCGGAGATAAGAATTATACATTTTCTACAATTAAATTCCTCAAACAAATATATTTTCTTAATAATATTGTGTAAATATTTCTAATTTGAACAATTCAAAATTCGTATTAAATAAACAAGATAAGTATTGTGATATTCATAATTAATAAAGATTAATTTATTAAATATAGTGTAAGACAACAGAAATTATAAACCTGTATTATTATAATATTTTTAAACTAAAAGTGGAAATGATTTAAATAATAAATCTAATGAAACCATAATTCAGAATTAAATGAAAATTATATATTTCTATAAATATTTTATTTCTTATTAAAACCAAGTTTTCAATATTTAATTATGTTATAATAGGAAAATAGATTTAATATTGAATATTTTGAATATATGATAAACTACTTTTTTGAAATTAAGTACTCTTATAATGTTTATTATTAAGGATAACTGACAAAAATCCTTATAAAAAGAAGTCACTATAATACAATTGATTGTTTAGATAATTAATTTATTGTTATTTATAGAAATAAATAACAATATCCTTAATATAAGATTGTAATTTACTTCATAATTAAATTTCAATAATCTGATTCTAGATTTTATAAAATAGCCAAAGTTAATCTACATTGTAGTCTCAAATTTTGCCTGTTGTTATTACATCGAATTCTCTTAAAAAATTGTATAAAACCCATCTACTAAAAATCATTATTTTTGTTTATTGATTTTATTGAATTTTTATCTAAAACTGATAAATTTTCTTAAAAAAAATAAATCAAATAATAAGAAATTTTCTACAATATTATAACTATCTAATTAATAAAATTTTCTCTATAAAAGGATTTGGTTAAACCTATTAGAAAACATGGATGCTAAATATTTCGCACTATTTTCTTCATAAATCTTTTTGAATGTATAATCTTATATGAAAAATTGAAGGTGTTTCTTTTTTTGACTTCCCACTTATCTGAAATTTTTGAAGAATTTATTTATTTAATTAAGTTCAATTACCTGTTCGAATATTTTAAATATCCGAATTGTTAGGATATTTAAAATTTTTTGTATTTTTATTTTTTGGGATATATTCAATAATTCTATTGTTTTAAAGAGTGTGATATTATACTTTTTAAAACGGTATTTGTTTACAATTTATTTAGAGTACTTATTCTGGATTTACTAAATCTCAAAGCATTCCCTGATTAACCCCTATCACTCTTTAATTAATTATTCAAAGTAAAGATCTATTATTTTTGTTTATTAAATAAACAAATCACTCAAATCTATCATTATTTATTTTATTATTTTTATGAATTGATTGATTCTTTTAAACATATAGATTCATCATAATAAAAATTAAGTAATTCTTCTTTATTATTCATTAAAATGAATTGTAATTAAATATTTATTGATTAACTGAGATGTCCTGAATTTTATACAAAGAATTAACATGCATCACTTAATTGTCCTCCAAAATATTCATAGAGTTTCATAATGAATTAAATAATCAATAAACCAAGAATTTTGAGGAATTAATATAGTGTACAGAAATATTCGTCATCAACAGAAGAACTTTGTTAATCATTTGAATAACCTTAAGTGTTGAATTTAACAATATCGTAATTAAGGAATATGAAATCTTTAAATAAGACAAAGAAGACTAGTTTATGTTCAAAGTCTAAGAGTAAAGAGAAAAATCAACAAATTTGTAATCAAAATCATGAAAGAAAACGATCAAACACATACCATATCAATTCTTTAGCTAAAACAGCTTTGTTATTTGTAAATTGTTAAGATAAGAGAATGAAAACAACTGAAAATGTAGATAATGTATTTGAGATCAAAAACTTAGAATTATTGTAAAGTACTTAATAGAGTGCAAAATTTAATGCTTTAAATACAACAATAACTTTACCAAATAACAATTATGAATCAACTTTACATTCATGTGTCTCTTAAGTAAAAATCTCTTTAGCAGATTAAATAAATTTGGTTAAAGAATATGTATCTGAAAGTAATCAATTTAATATTAAATGGGAGGAATCAGAAAAAATAACTAAAAATATCCCTAAAAAATTATTAGAAAAATATGTTACTTCGGATGATACATCTTTGTATCTAGAATCTTCAAGATTTAAAATAGAAAGAAATTTCAATTAAATTTATAAATCAGGTAAATTTAGATGGTTATATCCTGGCGAAGAAGCAGCTATTATAGAAGGTATAGAATCATTTTTAAATTGTTGTTCAAAAAAGATATCATTATTAATGATGAGTATATAAAAGATCTTAAAAACAATAATTACTTAAAAGAGGTTAGAATATTTATATAATTATCCAATATGTATGAAGTAAATTGAAGCTCATTGGAAGATTATGGCAACAATATTTAAATTAAAATAATATAATCGTATATATAAAAATTAAGTAACAAATAAATTATGGAAAGATATTTAAGCATCAAAAACCTTATTTTTAGATTTAAATCTAGAGAATAATAAATTAGCTCTTTTTGTCAAATAATTATAGCATTGATTTAAATAGCATTTTTCAATATTTTATCAAAATATAATATAATAATAATAATTAATCATAAAAATAAATTAGCTAAAAATAATCTTTTTTTTCCTCTTTTCATCACTTTAGTTGCATCTTTTCTAGAAACCAATTAGTATTCTTCTGGAATCTAGAATAATTTTTTTATTTAAATATCTTCATTATCAATTTATTTATATGCTTAAAATGTCACAACAGCATCAATAGTAAAATTTATAGGAATTTCTATTCTGACTGGAAATCCTTTTTCGGTAAGTAATTATTTAACAGTCTCATTTGATAATACTGTTTATAAAGATGATATAAATTCATTTCCATTAGATAGCATTTTAATAATAGGAAGAAACTGCTAAAAATTTAATGGAAATGATTGACTTATATAAACTTAGCAAGATTCTGATGATTCTAAAAAAGTGTAATTTATATAATACTTTTATCATTTTCATTTTTTGCATTATTTTAATTATTATTCTTTTTCTATACATTATCTTAATTAATAGAAGTAGAATTAATAAATAATTAATCTCCTACTATTTGACTTGTTATTTATTCTAAATTAAATCTTGCACTTGTAGGATTTTAATCAATAGATTAATTTAAATATTAATCTAAATTCATAAAATAATTTTATTGATGTTTCTTATTAAAATGTTATGAAGTTTGTATTTTAAATTCATATTTTTAACAAATCCAATTATTTATTTTTTAACTGATATAATTCCCAAATAAATTCTTACTTTTTATTAATTCACATCCAATAACTTTCAAATCTCCACTTACACTATCACAATTTAATAAATCCATTAAAATTTAATTCTTTTCTTCAGGATCTATATCTTGCTAATTTAATTTAAAAATCTTACAATAGGATAATAATATATCTTTTTATTTCTATTTAAAATAGTGACAAATTTACAATTTGAACTATTTTCCTTTCTCTAAACTGATCCCATTAATGGATTATAAATTACTGTTAGATCTCTTCTTTTAGTTTTATAATTCTTTGTTCCTGCAAAAGTAGAATCTAATCTCAAAGATGAACCTGAATTAATACATTATATTACCTCTCTTATATATTTTAAAAGTATCATTAGGAGTAAATTTTGAGATGAAAGGAATAAAGCTGGATTTGAATTCCCATTTCATTTCGAGATAGAAATCATGGATTTTCAATAGTTCCTAATCAATTTAATTTCGTTCCTATTACATATCAAATAATTTCTTAGAAACTAAGTAATCAAATAATAATGATGTAGTCAATAAGTCATTTTAAGCAACAGTTTCTTCAATTGGACTCCATCCATTTGTATCTTTAATAGCAGGGTCAGAACCATTTGATAATAATAATCGAATAGTGGAAAATTGATTTTATTATTATTACAATTTTATAGCTAATAAAAGAGGTGTATTTCCATTTAGATCTTTCATATTCAATAAATCAGTTCTATATTCCTTTTACAATAATAATACAATTTTAGTTAATAATTATATGTTTCTATTAAAAACAGCTTCAATAATTTGATTTAAAATATCTTTTTCATTTAATTTATTTGAAGATTAATGAGCAAATGATTCATTACATGGAACATCAATAGTAAATTGACTATTATTTAATGATTATTAGCATGATCTATTATTAATAACATTAGAACTATTATTATTATTGATGCTAGTTTAATGAAAATTTGTTAGATAAAACATTAATGGAGAATTTACTTATTTAAACGATTAATCAAAAGAATAATCTGCTATATCTTTAGTCTTTTTAATAAAACTTAATGTATTATGATTACTCTCAGATATAGGTGATGATTATCTTTAAATAGAAGGAGATTTATTTAATTTAACAGATTAATCATCTTTATTTATTTAGATTCTACTAATTTAGTTTCCTTACCAAAATTTTTTAGATTTTATTTCATTAAACATTTTAATTTTCTCATTAAAGTAACTATTCTTATATTAACATAGAATATTGGCTTTTTTATTTTCATCTGAGATATCAAATTCTGATAGTTATATTTCTGAAGAATCATCACAAGAAGATTCAGAACTTGATTCTTATATTCTTTTACTTAATTTAAAACAAGTCTATGATTTACGAGATTTAATTCCACTAATACTTCTTAGACAAACAGTTTTATGTTTAAATTTTAATGGTAAATCATGTAATTTATCTAATTTCTCTTTAATAGAATCTTGATAAGCCTCTTCATCACTATATTCGAAAGTTTACATCTTATTAATTAATAATTTTAATATTCATAATTTATAATAACAACACATGAAATCTAATCATATTAGACATTCAACAAGTATCATAAATTTAAAGAATCATATGAATTAAGCTCCAAAACGATTAGCACTTAATGCTACTAGTTTATCTAGATATGTTTCATAATTTTTAAGCACTTCTAAAGGTAGAGATAAATTTATGGCATTATTACAATATTCATTTGATTTTTATCATAGTTGTACAAAACATTCAAATTTACTATATGTTTAATAATTGGTTTCATAAAATGAATTAAAATGTTATGTAGTTGCTGAAAAATTCAAAGATGTAATAAGAATTCTTATATATTTAGAGTATTTCCTAAAGTCGTAAAATATTTAGACTGTTATTTTTCTTAGATGAAATTAAAGGGATATAAAGGTTGATTAAATAAAATAAGCCATTATTATTTAAAATATTAGCAATTTCTGGGCATTATTCAAGTTTTATGTACTATGTAAGTGATAATTTTTTATGGATTATTGCAATTTTAGCATAAAGGTATTATTTATTGAAGTTAGAATATTAGTAAAGTATTGGAAAAAGAAATAGAAACAAGATGGAAATAAAGGAAAAATTCCTTTTCTTAAATGAGAATAATAATCAATATGTTGAGATTAATTATATTAATAATATTTAGAGAAAAGTATAAATAAATTAAAATATATATTAGTAAAGAGAATAGAATTTTGTAAGAGATGACAAAAATTATGACATAAGATACATAAAAAAAATTATAAAATTCTCTAATTAAATTAAGAAGAAAGAGAAGATTTGAAATTTTAGAATTAATTTTATCAATTTTAAGATTCTTTATGCTTACTAAATCTTTAAAAATGACAGGATATTAATATTTAGATCCTGTTTTTGTTGCCAGTATTATTAATATTATTATAATAGCATGTGGATTAATATCTTCAGGATTAGCATTATTTAAAGCTATATATGAAAAAAGGATATTTATATAACTTGAAAATTCATCAAAGATGGAAAGTTAAATAAATTAGAAATTAACTAAAGGATTTGCATCTTCTGGTAAAATGGATGATACGATTATTTGAATAATATATTATATCATGGTTTTGGTTAATGGAAATTAGTTTTACATCCTTCACTACATCTAATACATTTATTACAACAAGTATAGTAATCATCTGCACCACATTTTTTACATGAATAAAATTTTAATTTACCACTATGAAATAAACATGAATCCTAAAAATATTTAAATAAGTTTAATACTATATAATTGGTTCTTGGATTATATAATAAATGACATTATTAACATTCTTTTTTAGAACATTTTTATAATTGTAATTCAGCATACTTGGATATTGATTCTAATATTTATGAAATAAGTTAATTTTTTTAATTTCCTAGTTCTTCTTTTTATTTATGCAAATCTTTTAATAATTATGGATCATTTTATTCTATTCCAGGAGATACATCTTCATCAAATTACATTAATGAATTTTAAGTATCCATTCCTTAATTATGAATAATATTTGTATGTGAAGGTTATTTTTAATCTTAATGTAAAAACTCATATAAATAATTGACTGCATTTGGAACCAATTATTTTTATTATTCAAATACTGGACTAGTAAATATCTATTCTCTTTCTTAATCTATCACTAATTATTATTATTTTAATTATTCCATTCTTGCTATTTATTTTTCATATTAATGTTTTGTTTATAATAACTTTTATTCCTCTTCTTTCTCATTTTAAACATATTCATCCAATTTCTTTTATAAAACATCATTCTCTTTAACAAGTGATTCTATTATTATTATATAAAAAATACAAATAGTTTAATTATAACTTTGAACTATTATTTAAGCATCTTATTCACTCATCATTGGATTATCAGATAAGACACTGCTAGTAAATGAGTTTGTCTCTTCGTGCATATTTAAAAATAATTAAATTAATTCATTAATAATAATTTATACACATATAAATATGTTTAACATTTTGGCCTTACTATTAATTGTTAAACTTTATGCCACTGATCTAAACATCTAAAATGTAGAAGTTGAATCAAAATAGTAGTAATAGCAATCATAATAAGATATAGAAACAGAAGGATAGAAGTAAATTAATATATTATAATAGAGTAATAGCAAAATTAACTGCTTGTTGGGTTTTATCAGTTTAAGAATTATCTAAAGAATAAAAATAAGTGAATGAAATTATAAAGAGTTAATCTAATATTAATAGAGAATCCATTTTTTATAAAATTTAGACAACTATGTTAGAAGAATGTTATTCAAAGGCTCCAGATGAAGAATTGAATAATGTAATGAGATCTATTTAGGATGATAAACAGAATTATAAATCATTCAAATAATAATTGCCAAATTTTAATTTTGATGTATTTAATAGAACATCCTTTGATTGGACTTTTACTAAAAATGATGAAACTTTAATGAAATATATTAGAGTATACATTATTAATAATTAATAATTAGAGATTTGAGGAATGGGTGACTTAAAAGAATACTATTACTAATACAATTCAATAACCTAATTAATAATAAAGTGTTTTTGCAGAATTAAAAAAGAAAATATCAGAAATGAGTAAAAAGAGTTAAAACAAAGATTCTGAAACTGATAATAAAGATTAATTAGATAAATATCAATTTTATTTATCAAAATAATAAGGAATGAAAGATCCAATTAATTATTTATTTGCTGGAATTGTTATTTTTTGTTTCTCCTTTGTATTTTATATTGGTATTCAATCTAATATTATTTTTTAGTTTATTCCAAAGTTAAACAAGCTAATTTAGATCCAAGATTAGATAAAAAAAATAAGAAACAAAAATTAAAAAAGGAATGATTAGATATTCATATTTTTATTAATATTTTATTTAAATGCAATAATATTCACCAAGAGCAATTATTTGGATGACATATCTAAATTATTTACCATAAGATCAAGCTTAATAGTTGTCATTCCTTAAAAAATAATAACAACTCTACAATTCTTATTTGGATGAATTTATCCAAACAGAACACTTAGAAATTTTCAATATTTTGAACAATATAGACTCTGATCAGAATTCCCTCAGTTTTAGTGAATTTTTGAACATAAAGACTCAAGTTATCAATTCATCTATGGATTATAATGAATATATCCAAAATGAACATCTATATGAACTTATAGAAAAAGACGTTCCGTATCTTATTAAACTATCTTTTTAGTCGAACTTTACCAAATTAATCAATCTTAAAAGAACAAACCAATGCCAAGTTCTCTTATTACTTCTTTACTGACTAATATAAAAGAAGAAAATTATAAAGTAATACATTTCCCACTCATTCAGATATTCTTATTAGAATATTATATATTTATGGTAAACTTAACCCAGCTATTAAATATATGTAAGGAATGAGTGATCTTCTTGCCCCATTGTATTTAATCATTAAAAATGAAGCAGACACATTCTTTTGTTTTACTAAAATTATGGCTCAACTTAAAGATGCATATATTTCTACACTTGATTTTACTAACACTGGAATTAGAGGATTATTATTAAAATTTGAAAAACAATTCCAATAAAAAGAACCAAAATTATACAATTATTTACATAATCTTGGTATTCATCCATATATGTATGGTTACAGATGGATTATCACTTGTATGACACGTGAATTCTATCTAGATTAAATCTATTAAATTTGGGATCTAATGTTACATGATCGTAATATGCATGATTTCATTATTAAATTTGCTATTGCAATTCTTAAATACTTAAAACCCTAGTTAATTCAAGCTGATTTTAAATTGGCTTTTGATATTTTGATATACAGCGAGAAAGATGTTAATCAAATTCTCAATTTTATGTGATTTTTATTAATTTATACGTGTTTATACTATCTATTAAATTATTTATCCTAATTATTAAATGATCTGGAATCTTTAAATCACCGATCCCAATATCAAATATCTCTTAAAAAAAGAAAGTGATTCCCTATTGAAACATAAACAATAAACTCAACTATTCTAATAATCAATCAATAATATTAAAGATTAATAAACAAAAGAACTTATTCTTTAAAATTTACAGCTTATGCAAGATTCTAATTTATTTGTCACTTTCCGTTAACAAATTGAAGTATCTGTTGCCTTATAATAATAATTCAAATAAACGTAATAAATTCTGGAATAATCAGATATTCATTAAATTATTCACTTTATTGATTAAATCTAAAATTTGATTGCCAACAATATTGAAATCATAAATAAGGATTAAAATATTGTATAATATATTGCAGAAAATAAAAAATAAATTATCTAAATGATTACTATGAAATATGAACATACAATTATTAATACTTTAAATTCCTTAGGATTTCCTAATCTAAATATTGAATAAGAACCTTTATAATTTAACTAAATTCATTTATTGACAATTTATTCAAAATTAATCAAACACATTTCATAAATTGAACCTTCATTTTTGTCTACTATTTTCATTAGACTTAATTAAAATTTTGATTATCATTTTATTGATTCAATCTAAGCTACCTCAAATATTAATAATAGTTCATGGTTTTTTAATTATTTATATGAAAACTTTGAAAAATCAATCAAATAACTTTTTAAACTTGATAGTAATTATGAATAATAAACATTAAATTACTAAAATTTTGAATTAGAAGAAATAATTCAGACATTTGCTTAACTAATGATTAAACATTATATAATTAACAATATTATAAAGGTATTTATTAACAATAATTAGAGAATAAAAAGAGACAAAGATGAGTTTATAAACTAGCCTAATTTAGCTTTGTTATTTTTAGAAGAACTTGATAATTTTTGTTAATCAATTGAACAATTTTGGTATATTTGTTTTGAACAGAAATGTAATCAAATATTTGAAGTAATACTACTTGTACTTGATGAAAATAACATCTTCGGCAAAATTCTAGAATGGGAAATTAATCTATTTAATCAAAGTATTTTTAATGAATATGAAAATAAAATTCAATAAAAAAATATACATCTTTTCCTTAATCTAGTTGAAGAATTTTAAATAGTTTGGAATAGTTAAAATTAAAAATATAATTTGATCATTAACAATAATCTAATTGATTAGATTTCAAAGACTTATACGTTAATCTTTAAATAATTTTTAGATTTATGTGAATAATATTATTTAATTATTAAATAAATAGACAGTAAAGATTATGTATGTAAATTATGATAAATTATAGGTCCAGTTTTTGTAGACTTATTATCTTGGATTAAAAACATTAAAACAGTAATTCAAAAAATACAAAATATAAATAAAATAACTCAAATAAAATACATTAATTAAATTTTTAGAACCCTTATCCAATTAATGTTCAGAAGAAATATTTTAAAAATTATACAAGGAATATTTATATGAAGATAAATAGACAGTTGAATTTTTCAAATCAATAACAAAAGTCAATTTCTATTAAAATCATTAGATTATATTTCTCTAAACTCAACATGAGTTTGGCAAAAAAATTAATAATTTTTATTATAAAGCCAATTCTACTATTAATTAAATTATAAATTCAAATCTGATAGAAAGATAGTATGTATCAAATTTAGCATAAAAAGTAATTTCTTTAATAATTTAATAACTTTACAATAAAATATATAAAAATATAATAAAATAAGAGTACTCTAAAGATGGAATTCTTATCATGTATCTAGCCATTATAAGAACTATATTTATGGTTCTATATTCATCTATTAATTTAGAAAATACAAAATCATCTAAAAAAATTATTGAAAAGTATATTAAACTTTTTTAGTTTTAGGTTTGATCAAATTTAAACAATTATAAACAATAGATACGTATTGAACGAACAATCTTGCCAAAGAGTTATAAAAACATATTCATTATTAAATTAACAGGATGTAGAAATAATGAAGAATTTAAAAATTAATTAAACCACTTGAAATAATTATATATATCATAGACATTAATTCTAATAAGTAATTTGAATAGGTCAACAAAAAGATAATATTTTAATATTTCTCTAAACTATTTTATTCATTGTTAAATCTCTTCTTGTTTTGAATTTCTTTTTTTTTAAACGACTTTCAATAAATTATTCAGTCAATGTATTTTTTCTTGTTTATTTTATTAAAGGTATAGCAGGTTGATATAAAGCATCAAGCTCTTTAAATTAAGAACTTTCAACTGATGAACTCTGTTGTAAAATATGTTACTTTGTTTTATTAAAGCTATTTTATGTCCAAGGTCGACATTGTGTTGCTGTAATATTTAAATTACTTTAATTTTATAAATTATTTTAATATTATTAATTTCTAGATTTAATTCTTCCTCTTTAAGTAGAATCATTAGCATTATAAAATGATGATTGAGTAATATGTTAATTTTTTTATATAGGTTATTTTTCAGAAGTTGTAATAACTTTAATAGTATTAGATTAAATTTTAATTTACTTTTTGGTTTGAATACTGTCATTTTTTTATAACTAAATACTTTTCTCTTTTTGTTAAACATGTATTTTATCTTTACCTTTTTCAAAGATCTCAAAACCACAATATTCAATAATTTTTCTATTGGAATTGATTTCTTTTAATTAATTATGAGTAAATGATAATCTTTAATCTTCAATAACACTTAATTCATTTTATAAACAGAGTATTAAATTTTTATTAAAATATCCATAATTTAATAAAATAGAATCCAAATTAATTTATCTTAAAATAACCTTTTTAAATGACATTAAAACTAACATTTATGCTTAACTTCCAATTATTATTTTTGGATCTAAATATACTTAAAAATCATTATAATAATATTCATCTCCCTCAATTTCAATGATCTATTATTAAAAATCATCATTATGATATTTAAATATATTTAATTCACCTTAATTAGTTAAAATAAAAATATTATTTAATAAAGAAACCCATTTTTTTATTTCTATTTTGAAATTTAATTATTTTAATAATTGAATGTTGTTATCTTTCATTTTTAATAATTTAAAAACATTATGTTCATCAATTGTTAATATGCATATATCATTATTTAAAGCTTTAAAAATTGTTGAAAGTTTAATTGAACATCTATTATAATTTAATTCAGAAATACTTCTATTAAAATTAGGTAGTTTGAATAAAAGTATTTGTCCTTGTTAGATATAAACAAATAAATATACTAAATTAGAATCAATTTCAATAAATTTGAGATTGATAATTTTATTTTTCACTAATGCTCCTTCACTATTATGTAAATGATCACTACTAATAACAATATTAATTGTTTCGTCCTAAAATTTAAGAATGTCACTAGTTTCAGTTAAAAAATAATAAGTTTCTTAAATAAAATGTGCTTGTATAATGGTTTATTTAGTTTTAATATAATGAGTATTAAATTTATTAGGATTTAACATTTAAATTAGACTATTATTGTCAAATAAAAATTAAGGATCTGAAATACCTTCTATTAAACATCTAATATCAGATTTATGTTGATAAAGTAAACGTTACTCTAATTATCTATTTAAGATATAAAAACTTTAATGAAAACTTGCAAACAATCTATATTAATTGATTATAAATATATTTTTATACTAAAGACCTATTTTATATATTTATAAACATTGCCATGTTTAAATAGAATATAGGGATATTTCATTATTTGAAGATGCCCAAAACATATTTTCATCATTTTTGTCATTTTATAATTAATCAACATTAGATCCATGTTCAAGTTCAAAAATATTGATTGGTTGATTTTAATTATATAATGTCCATGTATAAATTTTACCATCTTTTGTACCACAAATAATATAATATAAAGTTGGAAAATATAATAAGCAAGTTATGCTATTTTTGTAATTTGTAATATTCAATTTTTCTGATATCAATTAATAATTTTAAGAATAAACTTTTAAAGTTGTTTATTCCCATAGAAATATTAATGAATGTTATAATTAGAATCCAATAAAATATTTATTTGAATTCGTAAAACATAATTTGTTCAATAATATTACTTTAATCTATAATGAAGTTTTTTTGATTTCCATAAAGATTTATTCAATTTTGCTATCTTAAACTACATACAAAGATATAGATTCATCTATAAATTAAATAGAAATTGGATATGAAGTAATTACAGATATTTTATTAAAAAAGACTAGATTAGATGAAAGAATATAAATTTACCAATCATCAAACAAAATAAAGTAGATATCATATTTCTTTGAATAAGTTACTTTAACAGGTTTATAATGTTATGCAAAAGTATTATATTGAACTTAATGATTAATTGAACAATTAAATGTATTAATATCCTGTAACCATTTTCCATTCATTACGAGTAAATTAAATGAGGTCTTATATAATATTTATAAATCCCCTTTTATGCTTGTTATTTCAGTTGGAATGTAACCTAAATTTAAAGTTAAAGACATTAATATTAAATAATTAATATATAATGTATAGATAAGCCTAATAGAAAAGATATACATATAAATATATTAATATCAATGAATTAAAATTATGTAGCTTCAGATGCATGAGTAATTGAGATGGAACATGAAGTTTATATTCACAATATCAAAGAATTGAGAGTCTCTACAGGTGATTAAGTCAAAATCTGTGCTGTTATGAAAGATGATGCTTATGGACATGGAATTGAAGTGATGATGGATTCAATTGTTAAATCAGGAGTTAATATATCAGTGGTATTGAAATTGTGAATTTAGAATCATGAATAAATGGTTTAAAGAACACAATATTAATCATGTGAGATTGCTTAGAAATGCACCAGCTACTTGAGAAGAATTGATTGAATCTATAATTAATAATAGGGATGTTGAAGAAGTTATTGGATCATCAGAATAAGGTCAATATTTGACCAAAATTATAATTGAGTTATCTTAAAAACTTGGAAGAGAGATTGTTGTCTAAATACATATAAATTTTGAGACTGCCATGGGAAGAATGGGTTTTAGAAAAGTCAGTGATGTCAAACTTACTTAATAAATCACTAATCTAAAAGTAGTAGGAATTATGACACATTTAGCCAGAGAATATGAAGCTCCTCAAAATTATGAAATTGCCACTAGAACTTAAGTAGATTTATTCTAAGACTTTATTTCTTAATTAACATTAGAACCAACTGTAATTAAACATGTTGATAATTCAGCAGCTTAGGTTAAAAAGAAATTTACATAATTTGATATGTTAGAGCTGGATCTATTGCTTATGGAGAAGATAAAGAATAATTCTAAGACCCTAGACGAGTAATTAAACCTATTTTCCATAATTGGAAAACCACTGTTGTTATTATATAAGGAGATGTTTCACCTAATAGCCCTATTGGTTACATTGGAATCTAAAAAACAAGATCAGATAGAGAATCAAGACAACCACCATTAGAGTTGGTTATGATTATAATTGCCGCTTAAGATAGACATGTATAAATGGTTTCAAAATTTACTGTAAATAAAATTTTCATTTAAATCAAAAAGTAATTAGTTTTTTAATAAGCTGTTATAAATTATGTATATAATATAATGACTATTTTATTTTTTTTAAATGATTGATTCTTTCTGTAAATAAAGAATGAGAAATATTTTCGATAAATTCGAAAATTTAGATATAAATTTTAATTAATCAGATAGCATAATACGCTTATGCCTTTATTATGGACATATGCTCGTATAAGGTATTTCCATCTTTATTGTAAAACTTTAACTTTTTTACTAACAATTCAGGAAATTAAACAGTCTTTACACCAGGTGGAACTGAACCTTAATAAATTAATGTTTCTGTAATTCCATCATCGTCAACTGCAAATACTTGCATATGGGTGACTCTTACATCATAATCGTACATCCAAAACCTAATCCTGTTTATTAAATAGGATTATATAAACTCAAGAGTAATAATTCCATGCAAGGGAACAGCAACATGTCCCACTAATCAATTGTATGGAAAATAAATTGAATTTCTTAAAGGGCTATTATCAACCTATGGTACAATAAACATATTATTTCGAGCAGTTATTAATATTCCTCCGTTAGTTGTTTGCATTACATCCTAATAGTTTCTTCTTAATATTGCTTTTGGTGTAATATAATCTAAACAATTATTTGCATATACTGATGAAAATAATTGTAAAATTATACAAACAACAACAACAAGCATATGTTTTATTTATTTTATTTAATTGATATTCATTTAATAGTTTAGTAGTTTAATAAAAATTCTTAAAAAGCAGATGTTTATTCAGATTTATTTCTAATTTTGTTTAACAGTAATTGTGAAATATAACTTTAAATGCCCTGATTTTTAGGCAACGAACAGGTAAGTAATTGATTAGGAAGTATTCTGAATAGAGACAAGAAGTGTTTTTGGAGGATTTTTTATTTTATACACGATAATTAAATACTATTTGATATTGAAGTAAACTTAAAACAATTATAAATTAAAAATAGTCATCTAAAATTACTTCTAACAAACTTTTAATTGTCTTTTACTTACTTCAGATATCAAATTTATAGGCTTAAAAATCTTTAGAAAAATGCAAATAAATTGTTTGCAAATAAATTAATTTAAAAAGAAAAAGGTTGAGGTAATTTAAAGTACTTTTTATTTTGATTATGCACTTTCACTACTCATCTATATTATTAGTTTAGTTGTAATATTAATATAATTACAATATGTATTCTATGATCATATAAATTGACTTTATCAATTTAATATCTTCTATTAGTGTTAATCAGATTTTAATAATTTCAAAATACGAGATTTATGCTTAATTTAATTTTTGTATATAAATTAATATTTTATAATCTATATTTTATATTCCTAATTTCCTAATTTGTTTGTATTAATTATTTTTAACCAATAAAATGTAAATTATTATTAGATTTATTAAATTAAGGATATGTAATAATAAAAATTAAATATTTATTAATCTAAAGTTGATTTATTTGTTACATTTTTATTAAATTTATACAGTATTAATAATAATAAAAATAATAATTGAATAATGTGCATAACTCAAAATCTAGAAGATTATCTTTAAGCTACATTTGTATAACTCTCAACC